GGGCGAGGAGAGGGGGGTGGGGGGGGGGGGGGGGGGGGGACATGGGGTGGATGCATGGAATTGTAGAGTGTGGCATTGCATGCAAAGTGGGTTAGGAGGATAAATAGCGTCACTCACCGGCGTTTGTCATCTCCGTCAACCACCTTGCCATCAACAACACCATCGACCTCATCGTCACTGTCAAACCCCTGACCTCCATCATCATGGACTCGCACGGGCTTGTTGGACAGATCGCCAAGAACAAGGCCAAGGACCTCGCCAAGGTTGTCAAGGCCCACCCGGAGATCGTCGACGCCACCGACGACGACGGCATGATGCTGCTGCACCACGCGGCCAAGGACAACGCCGTCGAGTGCATCGCCGTCCTCCTCGACGCAGACGCCCGCATCAACGCCCAGGACACCAAGCACGGCTGGACACCCATGCACCACGCCGTCGAGGCCCTCTCTGTCCAGGCCGTCAAGGCTCTTCTCGCCGCGCCATCCCTGGATCTCACCGTCCAGGCCACCGCCTACGGCGGCTACACCCCGCTCATCCTCACCGTTGTCAACATCGACTGCGGTGACGACATGGCTGACGTCCGTGCCGACCAGTGCGACCGCCGCGAGACTATCCTCCGCGACATCCTCGTCTACTACTCGGAGCACGATGACCTCGACGTCAACGCTCTCGCCGGCAACGACACACACATCCTCGCCTTTGTTGAGGACATCACCAAGCACTCGGACTACGAGCGCTCCTTCTACGCCCGCATGGCCGAGATGCTCATCAACCACGGCGCCGCTCGCTAGGAGCACGTGGGCATCGGCGCGCGTGTCCGACACCACAGTAAAGGAGCGCCGGCGCGACGAGCAGCTCTACTCGAGCGTGATGGTGACCAGCTTCTCGACGTTGTCGCTCGATGGAGCAGAGGATCCGGAAGGGAGCGGCTTGGGGATGGTGATGCGAAAGAGATCGCCGCGGGTAGAGGCCTTGAGTGAAGCAAACTCGACACCTTTGGGGAGCGGGAAGAAGCGGGTAAACTCGGTGGAGGTCTTGAGGGTGGGAGAGCCCGAGGTGGTGGTCGCCTCGTCCCGGCCGGTGATGGTGAGGGTGCGATCCTTGACACCAAGACTCACATCGTCCATGCCTTGCGGGAGATGGGCGGTGATCTCGAGCGCGTCATCGACATCACACGACGAGAACATGGGAAAGTGGTTGTCCGGGGTTGAGTGCCGAGGCGATGGCCGGGAGCTCGACATCGCAGAAGCAATCGCGAAGCGCGGTGAGCGAGTCGGCGGGCGCCGGGCGCGGGAGCAGACGGTGGAGGCCGTGGCGACAAAACATGGCAAATGGGGGGGGAAGAGCAACGAGGGTTTTTGAGGCGGAAGCGACGAGCGTGCCCGACAGTTGAGCGTGCCCGACAGGTGCCCCGATGTCATCAGGCTCGGCGGCAAGGTTGGCGGCGATGGCGGGCCAGACGCGGTCGACGAGGCCCGACTCGACAAAAGACGTGTAAATTTCGGCCGAGGCAATATGGACGAGGTGTGCGAGGCGGATAGAGGCTGCCCAGAGCGGCGAGTCTGCTGCGAGCGGCGGGTGCGGCGGCGAAGCCGGCGGGCGGTTGGCGTTGTAGGCGGTGACGTAGGCGTCGAGGAGGATGGCGTGGGCGCTGGCGCGAGTGACGGGATCTTCCCATGCAGCGGCACCGAGCGAGGTGGCGGCAATCATGGCGAGGTCATAGACGGCTGGAGCGACGACGGCAAACTGAAAGTCGACAAAGGTGACATGAGCGACGCTCAGTGCGTGTGGCTCCACGGGATCCAAGAGGATGTTGCCACACCACAGATCGCCATGGCAGACGACGTCCGGGAGGCCGGCGGTTGAAGCGGCGGCTGAAACGGCAGCAACGGCGGCAGACGCAGCGGCAGGCATGTCGTCTGCATTGCCAAGGGCCCAAGCGCGAAGAGCGGCAACGGGCTCGGGTGCGAGGCGAGCGGCAAGCCAGTCGAGACCCGGCTCGATCTGGGCACCAAGGAAGGCCGCCGAGTCTGCAAGCGGGCCAATGGGCCCGCCGGGCCCTGGCAGCGGGACATCGAGGTGGACGATGGCAAGAGCAGCGGCAATGGAACCGAGAGCGTCTGGTGGGAGCCCGTCGGCGAGCGAGGGCGGGCGGGCCGGGGCGCGATCCTCGAGGACCAGGATGCCTGTACCCGAGGGACGATGCAGAGTGCCACCAAGGCGGGCAGGCCAGGGACGGCGCGGCAGAGAGGGAGCAGATGGGGATGGGGCGATGACGACGTCGGTGTCCGAGTCGGCGTCGGGCAGCGGGTGCGGCGGGGGAGATGCGGCCGAGTACCAGGCCATTTCGCGGGCGTGCATGGCGAGGGGAGGCGATGCGGCGAGGGAGAAGTGCTTGACGATGAGCGACGGCGATGGAAGCGGCGACGAGGGCGTCACCCGCCAGAGGGTGGAGAGGAAGCCCTCGTCGGTGCCGACAGGTGTGGCCGAGGCAGGGGCGAGAGCGGGGGCCGGGTCGGTGGGGCTCGCGGCGGGAGGCGGGAGGACAGCGGCGAGGACGGTGAGGGCCGGCGGGCGGAGGGAGGGCGGAGGCCAGTCGGTCATGGGGGGGAGGGGAGGGGGGGGGGACGGGTGTGGCAGTGGCTGGCAGTGAACGGAACGGCTTACTGTGACTAACTAACTGATTCTAATGACAGACTAAATGACTAACAGCTGATGTGTATCGTCACTACAGTTTCTTCGTCAGCTCAAAGTCGAAAAGCATCCATGCACGCAGGAGCATCATCTTCTCGGCGCGCAGAGCCGAGAGGCGGCTCCGCTTCCTCGTCATCATGTCTGTCGCCACCGAGTTGAGCCGTTCGACGCTGGCAGCGGAGGCCGATGGAAGAAGGATCCCCTGGCCCCACAAGCGGAACCTCGCACACAGCACCTGGATCCGCCGTACGTCAGCCTTGCGG